GGGGTCTCCTCGGCCCCCACGGGGCCCGGCTGGCCTGGGCAGCCACCGACCTCCTCCTGAGGGGGCTACCCTGACCTCCCCACGGCCAAAGTGGCTCTTCACCCCTCACATCACACTGGGGGCATCGTGACTGCACTGATGGAGCACAGCTCCATAGAGCCTCCTGCTCTATTTTATTCCTGTGTATAGATAGCTAAATATAACTTTCTGCTTATTTTTAATTCTCGGTGAAAGCTGCTATCCACAAGCCACCAAGCTGGGTCTGTGTTTTTCATATTTGCAGGCTTGCCTCAGATCCGAGAGAGGGAACAAGGTCAGCTCGGCACAAGGGTTGTAGCCGAGTTAGGGACGAGCAGCGTGTCCTGCCCCGGAGATGTGGTGACGGCACTGCAGAGGAGAAGGTGTTGCAGGACCTGGGTCCAGCAGCTTTCTCTGTCCCAAAAAGACCCCCCAGCCCCAACCAGAGCTGCTGCCTCTGGGCACCGCAGCTGTGGGCACTGCCGGTCCAGTCCACATTTGGTGGCAGGTTTTGCTGGTCCCCAGGCAGAGCGCAGGACATTTTAAATGTTTTCCCCTCTACACAGCCAGAAGTAGCTCACTGGATTGTACAATATCTCCCTCTGCAGTGGGAACAGGAGCCAGCACCAACTCGCAAACCAAGCGTGTAAGGCAACGTAACCAACAAGTGAGCGCGTCGGGGTTGTGTCAGCTGGTTGTACCCCCAGAGATAAACTCCTACCCCTCTTCTGGGAGGCAGGAATAATGTTTGGGAGGCTGTTTGATGGACCACCGAAAGATTTATCACCGTGGTATTTTCCTAACAGCCGAATTGCAAAGCCATGAGGTAATCGCAGCGCTACCTATTAAACACGTCAGGACCAATTTTCAAATCCTGGCAGCCTAATGAATACCCCAATCATGCATTTCGGGGTTCAAGCCGAGAGTTGGCAGGGAAACCAGCCTTGTCTCGCTCACACACCGGGCAGAAGCAGCCGAAAATCTCTCGTCTGCACTGCAAAAAAAAAGTCCCTATTCAGTTCCAAGATCCCACTCCTCCATTCATTGCTCAGGAGACAAGACTCCGACAAAAACAGCGGCATCACATGCGCACACACACGTGCTCTAGCAAATCACATTTATATGAAAATGACAGATCCAACTAGATCTGTCATATTTTACTGGGGTTGCATGAGGGATTGTTTTAAGTCACAACATCGCATGGAAAAACCATCATCCAAAAAAAGATATAAATCAAATTCTTCAAATGCTAGACTAAGGGCTTGACCAAAATAAGGCAGGCAGCAAGCGAGCCGTCCTGTGACTCCTCCTTTCTGCACCCTTCTTCTCAGGACTTCAAAATTCACCCTTGCTGACTCCCAGCTCTACATATAAGAAATTATTTATGTGTTCATTTACACATCCTTTTAGTCCTTCCAGATAGCCAGGTCTTTATGACAACTCAGTAATTCAGGATACTGTCCTGCCGACGTTCACTTGGATGAGTTTCCCCCCTCCTGAGGGCACCAAATCCCCACACTCTGTTGCGACAACATGCATCACACTATTCCTTCCTGGTCCAGCTTTGTGAGCTGAGGTGTGCCAAGGTCCCACCTAGCTAACCTTGAACTGCCCGGGAGTGGCTGGAGAGAAAGCATCTGCTCTCCAGGGTTGAAGCTCCGTTTTGGAAGGTGAGAGACACAGGGAGAAAAAGACTTTGTTTTGACCTAAAACCAAAACGTGTGATGGCTGGAAAGCCGTCCGTAGGGCTGAAATTACTCCACTGTTTTACAATAGGGCTGGCACGTGCTTGGCTGGCTTAAGACAAAGCTGTTCCCCCGCGCTGCCCTTCCCCTCGGGCAGCCTTGCCCTTCTTTGGTGCGGCAGCAGCCTCCAGGCAGGAACGGCTCTTGCCATTAGAAGGAGAAGCCAAAACCTCTCACACAATAATTCATTTACTAACACATTGAAAAAAAAAAAAACCCATCTGAGTGTGTTAATGTAGGGCTGTAGACACTTTCTCCACCAGCTGCTAACGACATTTCCCAATTTAGACGGAGCAGCAGCTTGTGCTGTACAAGCCCAGCCCTGGACGAGCAGGCTTACACACGTTCTCCAGCAAACCGTTGCTCCTTCGGTTCCTATCAAATTCCCAAACCCATCCTTTCCCCGTTAAGGCTATCTATGCAAGCTATCCCAATGTGACCGGACTATATAAGCAATCCAAAACTTAAGTGATGGCCAGGAAAAATTAATGGGAAAACCCAACTTTTAGGTCAGCATGCGCAATAGCAAACGGAAAATGCAGTGGCTGAGCTGAGAGCTCCCCGTGCCCTTAGGGATAGCGATGTGGTAGCCGGACTTCATTTCTGAAGAGACTGCAGCAAGCCAACTAGGACTCAAAGCAGCTGGTAAGCATGATTTTTTTTTCCCCCCCCTCTTACTAAATTCAGGATTTTCTCTTCTTTTGGGCTGAATCAGACAGACAGACTTTTCTATTCACAAGAAGTTTCTTTTCTTAGAGTTATTCTCAGAATAGTCAGTGAGTATTTGAAACCAAGAATAGCCGATCTCCCTTAGATTTATACTCCTGTTTTTGGAAACACTATTTAGAGATCAAAACTCCTAAATCAAAAGTAGTCAGAGGAACAACAGTGAAAAACCACATGTAACAGAGTGTACTGCACTGGCACCTTTCGATTCACCTCTTTCCTCGAAGACTCCTGGGAAGATTGGGTTCATCCCAAATCTCCCTGAGTCGTATCAGCTCCTTGCTAGAAACCTGCACCAGCCAGATTTAAGGTGTGAGCCCCCTCGAGCAAGTCACCACTGGAATGTCAGCAAAAACCTATGTTACAAGTAATTACAAAAAAAAAAAAAAGATCAGCACAAGCCAAGCCCCTGGTTAATACCTGTTGAAGAAAATACTGGAGTTGGAAAACAGGTGGATTTTTTTTTGTTCCATGCAGAGGTGTGGGTTTTTAAAAAGATAAATAAATATATAACATTTTTATATTGTTATGTGAAATTTAAATCTTGAATCACGGTCTGAGTTCCTCTGTAGCACTTATGAATGTCATTGTTCTTATGGATGACAGGCAGATTTCTGCTGATAAATGAATAAGCTTCACATTGCATCGCATATGAGCTTTTAATACAGTAGCTGCCAAGGGAATAACTGAAAGCCACCAAGAGTACTTCGTTCTTCTATTACTTGTCTGAAAGGTACAACTGACATTCAAATATATTGATTATTTCATGTTACACTGCTGAGCATCAGATGGAAAGACAAAAAGAAATGGGAAAGGTATAGTGAAAGGGCACCATACCTAAACCAGAGTTTAAACTCAGAAGGCATAGCTTAAAACTTTCCCTTTGTAAGACATACTTCTGCCAAAGAACGGCTTCGTTTCTCAAGCGAGCAAACCGCTTGTTGGTTGAGCCAAACTGTGGCAACAGAAGTCGTTTTCTATTTGCGTACGGCAAGACTTTCCTCATGAGAAAGGAGAACGCCCGGTTGTGTAAGGGAACCGCAGTGAAGGGCCGCCCGGGGCTGCCGTGGGACGGGCATCGCTCCGAGCCCTTCGGAGCGACCTAGACAGGCGTCTGCTGGGAGAGCTCCCCGCAGCGAAGGGTGGGTTGCCAGCCCAGCAGGGCAGACACGGTTTTAGGAGTTCCCTGATTTTATGCATTAGGTGCTGCCCACTGAAGTCACTAAGCAGAGCTTTGAAGTTTTCTTCAAAGCCCCCCCAATATCCTGCAAAAACTGAAATCACGGTAACCTTTTTGTTATTTAGCTACCTTTGAAGCAATTAAGTGAGAGCTAATAAGACGTTATTTAAAATATGAAATTGAAATAGCTTGCCTAGGAAAATCAACCCTGCAAAGGACCTTCTCTGAAACACTATTTTTCTTGGAAATCAGAGAGCTAAGGGACTCTGTTGGCCATGCTGTTACTTATTTTTTATTGCCTGTTATGGCACTTACCATCCTCATAAGAGGCTACCTTTATTGTTCCAGGGTGTAATCTCTGCCCAGGGAGCAGCATCACACAATGGTCATTTTAAAATATCCGTTTCCTAAAAGCCTAACCCAAAGCCCACCAAGGTCCCACCGGTTTCTGGGAGCACCGAAACAAAGCCCCAGTCTGGCCATAGGGTGTCACCACCGACCTGGTTCTGGGGAGCTGCACTGATTGCTCTGACCAGCAAAGCAACTAGATTAAAGACTACGACCCTGCAGCGCCTAAATGCTGTGCCGCTGGTCTTCCAGTAACCCAAAACCATAATTCAGGTGGGAAAAACCAGTATCCTACTTTCATACAGTGGCTCAGAGGAGATGGAAAGCCCGGCTGTAGTTTCTGCTCACCGCAGACAGACTCAGGTTAGCGGGCCGTCGGCGCAGCGATGAGCTGAGCGGCTGGTTTAAAGGCTTCTGCGGTTTTGAGATAGGCTCTGCCAGACCCGTACCTCCCGTCAGCCGCTCGCTCGGCCGGGCAGAAGCTACGAGCGTATCGTAGCTGACCGAGCAGAGCTTTGCGAAGAAATCGGCCGCATCAGCGTCTGCTGTGCTCGGACCGGAGCTACGTCCGTGCCCGTGCAAAGCGCCCGCCAGCGCCAGGAGTAGCTCTGGCGTTTGCTCCTCTCCGCGCTGGATGTGCTCCTGGGCTGAGGTCCACGCTACTCCCAGGAGCCCCATTCCGGCTTGGCTCATGGAGCTCACGCCAGCCCCACGCTGGATGCCGAGGGGCCCTTGGGGCAAGCAGAATTGCTTTCCTTTGGATGTGTTGATTCAAACTTTAGTCTTCTGGGCCTCTCTGTTATTCAAGGGTGAGGGTTTTCTTCACTACTTTTTTTTCCTATTAACCGTTAAAGCTAACAAAGCCATTGTCCACAGCAGGAACCAACGATGAGGTGCCCAGCAGGCTTCCTCCTCTGCTCACTACTGCTGGTGGCCACCCATTGCACAGAGGTGGCCACCCAGGAGGTCCAGCCCGACCCCAAAACACCGTGTGCCAACTGGATGGGAGGAGCGCCTGGCTACCCCGGCCACAACGGGCTCCCTGGCCGGGACGGGAAAGATGGAAAAGATGGACTAAAGGGAGAGAAAGGAGAGGAAGGTTGGTGGGGAGCAGGGGGTACATCGGTGCTGGAGCCCAGGGGCAGCCCCAGCCCTCAGGGCCAGCCCCGGCAGGTCTCACTCCTGGTAGGTCCATGTCCAACCTTTGTCCAGATGGCTTTTTTTAATATCTCCAGGGGTGGAGATTCCACAACCCAAGTCAAAGAGCTTGGCCTGGCAGTTGTTTTTCCTATTAATGATGTTTTTTTCAGACATGCTGCTCTCGGCAGCTCTGCGCACAGCAGGGCAGGGGGGAACGGGCTTTCCACATGCTGACTCGGGTCATGGGGGGGGCGTTGAGGTCATCCAGCTTTTCCTCAGGGGACACCCCTTGCTCCCTGCTGACGAGTGGGTCCTGAAGCCGCAGCCCCCTCTGCATTTCAGGTCGGTGGGTAGCGGCTGCCAGCACAGCACGAACATCTCCCTGTCCCCACTCTGTCCTCCAGGTGTGCAAGGCCCCAAAGGCGACCAAGGCGAAATAGGAGTCCCGGGGCGGGAAGGGCCAAGAGGATTTCCCGGATACTCAGGGCAGAAGGGGGAGAAGGGCGAAGGTGCCTTCATCTACCGCTCCGCCTTCAGCGTGGGGCTAACAGAGCGAGCCCCCCACCCCAACGTCCCCATCCGCTTCAGCAAGATCTTCTACAACGAGCAGAGCCACTATGATGCCAGCACTGGCAAGTTCCTCTGCAGCATCCCTGGCACATACTACTTCACCTACCACCTGACGGTCTACCTGTCGGACGTCAAGGTCAGCCTCTACAAGAAGGACAAGGCGGTGATCTTCACCTACGACCAGTTCCAGCAGAACAACGTTGACCAAGCGAGTGGTTCTGTCTTGCTGCACCTCAGTGCTGGGGATGAAGTCTGGCTTCAGGTGTACGGGGAGGGGGATAAAAATGGCGTCTACGCTGACAACATCAACGATTCCACTTTCATGGGCTTCCTCCTGTACCCAGACCTGGATGTCCATTAAAGCAAGGGGTGCTGCATGGGAGAAGATGAGGTGGCTTAAACCCGGACGGCGTTCTGGGGCACTGGCGCTATAGCTACACTGTATTTACCGGAAAATTGCCTTTTGCAGGAACAACTATTGCCAAGGGTGGACCCTATTACCTGAAAAATCAGTGAAGTTACACATGAGTGACTTCCATGGGACCAAGAGTTCACTCCTACCTCTGCTCTTGCTCTCCTTGTTGAAACCTGGGTCCAAAGTCAACCACCACTCCTGCCACATCATGAAACAGTAACTCTCAAGATGGGCTAAACTTTTTTTTTTACATTTGAAACTGATAAGAGAAAAATTGGTTACATTTAAATATCACATTCAAATTCCCCTTTTTTAAGTACCTAAATTAATTTAAACCAATGATAAATGTTTCAGCCAGCATTTTAAAATTTGAGAAGAGGGAGAAGACTATTCATGAAAGTCATCCCTGCTCTTGTTTTCAGCTAGAACAGATGGCTCCGTTTTTTCCATCGTAACTCCCTGTCTTATGAGGGCCTTTGACTTCCACCCATGGTTTGTTGTCTTCCTTTTTTAGCCCAGATCTTTGAATATATTCAGATTATTAACTTTCATTGATTTTAATCCTTTGATTTTTCCTTTTATGTTTGCCTCTTACAGTCTTCTCTAATGTAGATAGCATGCTCATTTAGGGCAGGGATCTTCTCTTTTGATTTATCTGAAAAGCCTTATGAACAGCGGTGAAGGCTACACAACAAAAGCAGCCCACTGACCGCATGGCTCTGGGGGTCCTGAGGTGGTCACAGACGTGTTGGCTGTACAGCTGTGACGCTCAGAAATGCCAGCAGCTCCCATGCAAACACCATGCCTGACCAGGGACCTCAGGGTGGAGGTGTCCCTTCCCAAGTCACTCACCTGATGCTGGAGGCAATGGCACAAGTACTTGCTCAGTCCAGAGGCCACCAGCGTGGGGCACACGAGCAGCATCTTACAGTTTCCATCTGCAAGCTGGCAGGATCCTGCCCCATCTCGCCCCTGAATAGCTCCCAAGTACAGACAGAGGTTGAGATCTAGCAACCGTGTTTCTACTTTTCCACACCGTAAGAGTGTCATAAGCAACGGTTGGCATGCCAGCTGGGCAGAGCTTCAGGTGGTGGTGCAACCTCCCACATTGAGTGGGCTCCCGGGATGAACAGCCCCAGGACCTGCCCCAGCTCTTAGCAAGGTTACCTTAATTGGGGGAAGAATGTTAAGGCTGAGATTAGGAGCAATCCCATCAAACTGCTCTCCACGGAGCTTCCTTGACTTTTAGCTAAAAGAGGATTTGATGGCTTCTCAGATGTGTTCAAAGACAACTCCCATTAAGCTTCAGAACAAGCTGACACAGATCAGAGTTAATGCACAAAACAGCATTAAGAGCTTCAACTGAAATTACTTCCAAGAGCAGCAGCATTTTCTACGCTCCAGCAGAAATGGTAATTCCCACATTACAAATAACAACCACAACTCTCTCATTCAGAATGCTCCCACATTTTTGTATGCATTGTTGGGAGGGATTTGAAGAAAGGGACATTCATCTAGCCTCACCAGGCAGCCCAGGAGAAAAAAAATAAATTTATTTTTCCAGCAAGGCAGGGACACCCTCTTTTTGCTTTCCCAAGAAACTCCCTGCCCACTAGCTTTCATCAAGGCTTCAGCACCTCACCGCCTCACACTCTGTTGCCTCCTTTTTGGGTAGATGAGCTCTGGTTTCCAGGCCGTTTCCCCAAAACCACCGCGCCTGAATCCACCCCGACTGGCCAGCCGGAGAAAGGGGCTCCGCTGCTTCAGGAGGCTTCAAGCACACTGGACGTAGCAAGGGCCGAACTGATGCTCAGTCTGATCACGATGAATTCGCAGAGCTGGGAAAAAACCTGCTCCTGTGGTGTGAATTAATGGGAAGGGGGGGGAAAAAACCACAACAAACCTAAAAAACTCATCCATAAACAAAAGGAGATTTAAAAATGCAGCAGTTACTGGATGAAATGGCATAAGAGGCTTGAATTGAAAGGAGCAACTCAGAGCTTTTGCAGTGGTTTTTTTCCCCCGAATATTTTCACATTGATTTTCTGAAGGCAGGGAAAATTGAAATAACCAAACTGCTAAGAGGCATTTAGGATAAACACTAGGAGGAAATACTAACTTAAAGACTACTTCCCAAGAGGCAGCCAAAACAAATTATTCCTTTCTTCGCTGCCACGCAGCAGGAGCGAATGTGCTTACAGTTTTATCCTCTACACCGGGACCCGGAGGCTTAGACACGGCTTTTCACACGGCCACGCACGCCTGATGCCGTGCGCTTTAGGCCAGGGCAGAGCCTGGGGTTTCTCACCACCCGGCAGGGAAAATCGAAATAACCAAACTGCTAAGAGGCATTTGGGATAAACACTAGGAGGAAATACTAACTTAAAGACTACTTCCCAAGAGGCAGCCAAAACAAATTATTCCTTTCTTCGCTGCCACGCAGCAGGAGCGAATGTGCTTACAGTTTTATCCTCTACACCGGGACCCGGAGGCTTAGACACGGCTTTTCACACGGCCACGCACGCCTGATGCCGTGCGCTTTAGGCCAGGGCAGAGCCTGGGGTTTCTCACCACCCCAGCAACGGCCCCGCCGCCAGCATCACCCATATTGATGCAATTTTGACCCGGGCCGACGGCACCTCCCACCTCAAGCTACCATGGATGTAGCGCAAGCAACACGTTGCGCGTTAGAAACTTGGGGACCGGGGCCACGCTGGCCCTTATGAGAAAGTCTTGCTGAACCCCCCCGGCGGTTTGCCTTCCGCATCAGCCCGTACCCCATCCGGGGTGCTCACAAGTGCAGTCGCACCTCGCGGCAGATGACCAGCACCTCGGGAGAGGCCCACGGGCACCGTGGGCTCCTGGTCAGCCTCCTGGCCACGGCGGCAGCAGGACGGCAGAGAGCTACGCGAAGGACCAAAACACGCTCCGCGGCAGAGACCCAGCCTGGAAGTCCTTGTCCCAAAGCCTGGCTCTGGTTTTGGTCCTGGGTCTTCCCCCGTCCCCGCTGTCAGGGTGTACCCAGAAGAAGCGTCACCGCTTACTCACATATGAGCAGAATATGTCTTCTATGTATACACACACAGCTTGTCGCAGGCCATGATAACAAAGCTCCGCAAGAATGCTGTATATTAGTTTATAAGGTCTTTTATCTCATTTAATCATTAAACACGTAACCTCTTTATCACCCTGTAAATGGCTTTTCCGAACTCCCCGGCGAGCAGCAGCCTCGCACGGGCTATTTTATGAAGTCTTTCACCTCAAATCTGCGTGCGACTCTTGCTCTGCAGAACTCGGCTA